AACAAACTCATATTTCGAACGGCATTTGTTTCATATACCCTTCTATAAAACGATTACATCGTTAACATTATAATCAATTTCTATGCAAAACTTCATACTTATTTATATACAGTTCATTCTACTAATAAGTAGTATCAGAATATTAACCATAAATGCTCTAAAACTGATAATGTACGAATCTGTATTGAATACATTACTATTCTTTGTAATGAATTCTTTACTTATTGAGACTAAGTTACTACTAATGAATACTCATCTTATCAACAAAATGTCTGTGATGTATCAAATTGTTATATCCCAATGAGAAAAATGGATGGTAACTGTTGGGATCTATTTCTGGACTAATACTATACATATATTTTGTATTGTATAGTTGTTAAGTAACTAAATGCTATTCATATTCGTGTTCCTCAAATATTAAGCTTCATTTTGACTTGTAGACTGTCATTATACGATTTATTATTCTTGAGTTGTGCTAACTCTATTCATTACAGTCTCATACATTCACAGCCACTTTTTGGTTCGATCTTGTACAAATGTTATTTTCAATTTTAGAATACGATGTGGCCTGTTTGGTTTGTATATAAACCCAGTATGTTTCAAATATATGATTCATAAAGCGGAGGCTGGGATTGGTGTTCTGGACTTAACAGACAAGGCTAGGTGGGTAGCAGGATCGATAAAGACTCTAAACTGCTCGTACTTGTTTTATGCGTCATTGATCCGGTCGATAAATCACTGTTCTCTAATTGGCGGTATCATTAGTTTATTCATTGATAGGTTCACAAACCCATAGGTTATAAGACAAATAATTAGAATATAACTACTTGAAGTATACATCCAATACTTAAACTTTACTTTAGACTAAAAATATGCATAACTCATCACAGAGTCAATTAGTTTGTGGTAATCAGAAACAAAAAATGTATCAAATGACAAGATTACACATTAATTCACACCAGAACGCTAAACTGGGAGTCATCGAAATTAACGACTGAATAAGTATTTTTAATATTTGAGATAATGAGTCAATTGAAGCTAGACCACTATGGAAAACCTGGGAGCACTGGAAGGCAGTTTTCTCCTAGTATAAGATAACTCGGCAGTGTGCATCCAGGTATTTCCTTGAGTTCTAGTGAGAAGTAGCGACCACTGTAGTGTCAACCGGGTCTATTGTGAGATAGTAACTCACTGAAGACAATGATGGACGTTGGTGCAACTTCGTGGATTAGCTAAAGTTGGACATTAACACCACTGGATACCGGCTAGCTCAGTGAGCTAGAGGTTAAGCGTTCGCGCGCGAGACCGATAGGTCGTGGGTTCAAATTTCGTGGGGTAGGATCCCGGATGCACACTGCTGAAGAGTCCTACAATAAGACAAAATGCCCGTCCAATGCTTCCAGATTTCCCATGGTGTTCTAGCCTCAATTGATTCATAATCTCAACTATTCGAATTACTATTATATCCACAAAACCCTTTCTGATATCAAATTAATTAAGTTAAAATATTCATATCAATGGAAGTAAACAATTAAAACATAGAAAGAATATAGAATTCAAAAGCAACTTATGAAGAATTAAAGAAGCTATATGAAAAGTAGGAAATATGATATTGATAAATAAAATTTAGTAGAAAAAGATTAAGAAGAGATACATTTCAACAACATTCTAAATGTATAACTTGATATCTTCAACTCTATAGATTATGATTGTTAGATAGATTTAATTGGACGCAGAAGGTCTGTACCAGTTAATACACACCATTGAGTTGAGTAATCTATAAACTCTATAAAAATAACAAAGTAAATCTATCACTAAATTCACTTGGTGTTGTTTTATTTGAATCTTCCCATTGTTACTGAATTCAAGTCCTAGAATGAACATCAACTCTGAGATTCAGGTACACCCAGCTGACGAGTCCCAAATAGGACGAAAAGCACTTTGTCCTGGATTTCACTACTAGTCACTATCCATCTTTGCATACAGATCTATCACTGCTTCACATTATATTTCTTAATCACACTTAGCCAACAGCCAGTATTATTGATCAACTAAATTAATCAATGAATATCTACAGCCCTAATTAGCCCATTTTCTGTCAAAATACAGAAATATTATTTCATTCATGGTATAACTATCGGTTAAAATATACATTTGATTAAAGACAATCATTGACAGCTATATCTCATTGTTTTTAATTGTATCAACAAATGAACAATTCATCAAACATACAATTGCACAATCCTTTTGTTCTCAGTATGGGGTTGTGAGAATTATTATGTTTTTGATTGAGATCATGAACCGATTCATATCAGACCACCATTGAAAACCTGAAGGTATTAAACGGCCGTTTCGTCTTACTGCGAGACTCCTCAGAAGTGCGTATCCACGATCCTGCCGAAGGGATTCGAAGCTATGGCCTTCGGTCTCGCGTGTGAACGCCTAACCTCTAGACCGCTGAGCTGGCCGGCATCCGATGGTGTTAATGTCGTTTTTTCGCCTAAAACTAAGTGTTAAACGCGATTGCAATTTACAATTCCATTTACAAACATAAATTTCTTTCAATTCCAATGGATTACACCTTCACCTTCTTGTCATTTAAAGATAGTGAACTATATAAAGGAGTGAATTATGTAAGATCGTTCTATTTTCACTACAAAGATTAAATACTTAGTTACAAATCTGAATAAAATAATACCAGAATTTTGATGAATTCATAGAGAATTAAACTAAGCATAAAAATGAATAGATAAACGATTCGTATAGCTTTAAATGTCATTTACTATTTGACGCTACATTGGATGAAAAATATTGGCCATAGTGTTATAGTGTTACTGATACACACATCTGGGTAGATATTGAAAGACTACACTTTCCTGTTGATGCTAATCGATATGTGTTTGATCTATCAACAAGAGTTTTATTTATAAATTTTTGTATCCCTCGTCCACTATTTCGTTTATAGTATAGCGTTGTCATAAACACGAATAAACATACGCTCCGACCTGAATAATTAACGTTAAGCTGACGCAAGCTATACTCCTGTTGGTTGGCTATCTGCATTGAATACGACGAAAAGTCAACAGTCAGCTTCTACCATATTTATTTTAAGCACACGTGGGCTTGTAAACAAACACACTGAACTACAAGCACACTAAAAATATAGAAAATCACATCAGGAAACAAACAAGCCAAAACTGGCTGTGAATAGGGTAAGCTCTGAACAATTGGTTGAAAATAAAATAAAAACAATTAGCCTTATAAAATCATCAATATAGATTGACTGTAATTGATCAGTCCTAGCAATTATACAATAAGAACATATATACATATATAATAATAATATTAGTCCACAGAGTAGTTCCCAGTGTTACTCATTTTTTCAATCATCGTTCTGACACATGATATGATCGAAAGACCAAGCCATTGAGTAAAGAGAGACACAAATAAGGGATATTCTAACTTCAAATGAAACATACTCCCAAGTATCAATGGCCATCAAGAGCAGTGACATGAAATTGGTGATAGATCACAAAAAACAAGTGAAATAAGATTATGAAGTTAACCAACCAATGTGAATTATAGGAAAAGTTTACGATTTAATGCTTATTACTAAACAATTATATAGTAGTCTGTGTTTTTTTTTAGTTGATCAAACAAAAAAGGAGTTTTTTATTGTATGACGTTACAAATAAAAAATCCCAGATATTCAAGCAGGCCACCTTGGTTATTGCCGGTCCAAATACCGGGTAAAACAGGGAGGGTGGGTATGGGGTCAGCAAACCCAAGAAAACCATAGATACAGTAGAGATGCTGCTCTGCTTTGATCACGAAAGAAAAAATGCTCTACACACTCAAGGAGTTATTCTAATGCTGTCCAAACAAACACGGAAAGCACTTATACGATGGGAATCTCATTAACCCACGATCATCAAAACATCTTTCAAAACATTGAACGATGGAAGCACAATCAGTGTTATTCAAAGTTATGCACATAAAATTGATAGCAACGACAACGATAAAAATCAGTTTTACGACAGACTGCAATCGATCACAGATATCACTCCATCAACGATGGACCTACACATCTTAAAGAAAGCACGGAAAACAATGGGGAGCTTGGATGAGGCTAGACGATTAGGACTCTGTAGATGTAAATGCGATGATTCAAACAAAGCAAAAGCATTATCCCTACAGTTGAAGAATATATGGAATTCAAAACATCTATTTGCAAGCCAACATCAAAGCCACAATCTTCAACACAGTTCTACTGTACAGAGCTGAATTTTCTAGAACTACTACAACAATCATAAAAAAGTGCAAGTGCCCAAAAACAATTGTCTACACAAGATACTCAATGTCAACTAGTTGGACACCATCAGCAATAGCCTACTATGGGAGAGAACAAACCAACACCCAACTAAAGAGGAAATTAAGAGAAGATCCTGGAAGTGGATAGGACATAACATTGCTGAAATCATCAAACTGCATCACGAAGCAAGCGCTAACTTGGAATCGTGAAGGGAAACGGAAAAGAGGAAGGTCAAAGAACACATCACGTTGGAAATTGAAAGCAGACATCAAAAGAATGAATATTAACTGGTAACAACTGGAAAGAATTGTCGAGGACAGATTAATATAGAGAATGCTGTTGGGCAGCCTATGTTTCTCCATGAGGGGTAACAGAAGTAATTAAGTAATAAAATACAATATAGTTTATAAGCCTCATTCAAAATCGAGCGGTATTTCAGTTATATAAATACAATGTGGCATTATCAAGGTTCTTAAATCAAACTAAGTAGATCTAAGTTAAGATCTTTGATCAATAGTTTGATTGGATCATCAAGTTATTTCTACACATTACTTACTTACGCCTGTTACTCCTCGTGAAGGAGCATTGCTACACATGTACAACATGAAGCAAACATACGATGAATTATCAATAGTATAATAGATATTCATAGATATTTAGAGGGAGTGAGAGATAAAACAAAACTTACAGTATATAAAGTACGTAAATCAATTGGATACTTTATTAATTCTTTATAGTTTTTAACAATTGTTGAATCTACCGGTTCACGAAAATATCGTGCCTAAATTTAAATGAAAACATCATGAAAAAAATCTATAATTAATAACTTGGTAACAGAAATATATATTCATTTACTACAACTATTATAATGTACATATCTTGATGAAAATTTTATTCTATGAGTTGGATAGTAACATTGTGGAGCTTTCATCGTTCTGTTGAACGACACCATTAGCATAAACTTCATCAAAAATTGAAATTGTCAATAAAATGACTAGAAAACAATCATTTCATATTTATATTGTGGTAAGTACTTATAAATGAGAATGCCCCCAAATGTCTTGGTACGGCCGAGAGTGGGGAGGTCCGGCCTCCCTCTAAAAGTGCTCTCACATGGCCACGCGTATAAAGCCTCTGTCAGGGAAGTCCTACTCACTGCCTACTCGTGGCAGGGGTGTTGCTTACGAAATTGAGAAGACGAAAAGCGAATGTCCGGCGCTTTAAATGGGTTGGTGGATATGGAGAGTCCACCAAGGGGAGTTGGAAAACCCTCATTCCAAACCAATCGTGCACATGGACTCTAGTATCCTAAAGGAACCAATCGTTGGTCACCGGCTACCATGTGACTGTATCTCCTTACGATGCTGATGACCATTTTTCAAAAGATCAAGTATCCATGCAACTTTATCAAGAAATACTAATCAAACTTATCAACAGAAACGTAATCTAATAAATCCCTTTCTATATATGGTAGGATGATCCGTTTGTTGTATTTCCTATTCAAGATTAAAATAAAATAATTGAGTCCGTTTGGCAGATTTATTTCATTTATTTATTTTAACACATAGATATTGGTACAAAGGGGCACCGAATACATATGCGTCACACAAATCTCATTTGATATATGTGAGGGCTGGAATACAAGCCGGAAACCCAAACTGAATCACGTGGTTTTCTTAGGGGGCCACACCCAGAGCCTTCGATATGAAGGTCTGATCCACAAAGCAGTGGAGTAACGTAAGGAGACGCAGTCACATGGTAGCCGGTGACCAACAACAACTTCATACGCCATTTGTTCTTTCAGGATACTGGAGTCCATGTGCACTATTGGTTTGGAATCAGGGTTTTCCAACACCCTTAGGTGGACTCTCCATGTCCACCAACCCGGTTAAAGCGTCAGACATTCGCTTTTCGTCCTCTCAATTTCGTAAACAACACCCCCGACACGAGAAGGCAGTGAGTAGGACTTCTTTGGCTTAATATAATAAACAAAGTAAGACAAATATTCAACATATATCATCAATTGGATACAACAGTTTATATGTTTATCCAAAAGAATATACAATGAAAGGATAGAAGGATAAGTATCTACGTGTTTCATTGAATATATCCTAGTAACTTTGGCCTTTGAAAGTAAAGCAGTCTCTATAGTTCAAAAGCACGCTGCCATCTGTTAAATATCTAGTACAAATTGGATTCAATAAATAGATTTTAAGTGACTAATAAATGATAATAATTCTGGTATATCAATCAACAAGGATACAGATGAAATGGTTATTATTTTCATATAGTATGGGTGGATCGTTATTGGTGTATCTAATAAATAAGTGACTGTATTAAGTGAGCATGTAGAAGTTGAGATGATAACAATTAGCAATGTTCAATGACTGGTAATAAACAATGAGAAATAAAATTCAATATTCTATAAGAAAATCAACTAGAAAACTCTGTCTGAAGCTGTTCAGGGGTAATCACCGGTTTCAAGCCCAGGTAAATGGGGAGGGTCAAAATTAGGATTAATAATCCTATCCCGTAGAAAAGCCCTTGTTGAATGAGCTTACCAGACAAGATCATTTTAATCATTTAAACTCTTTTTTGAAATCTAAAGGGTTTATATTTAGAGGGGTTATATAACGCGTGTTAAAATTCAGGATTCCTCGGAAGTAATGAGGCCGATCGTCGTTCTGGCAAACAGAAGAAAGACTGACATCGGTACGTGAAATGTCCACAAAATGTAGAAGACCGAGAAGTTCGTTCAAAAAGCTTCAGAAACGAACAGATATAACCCAGTGGCTCTTGGAATAAGTAGAAACAACTGGATAAAAGCTAGACAGAAAAGATTAGATCTGGAAGAGGGTCTTCTGTACTCCGATAATAAAGAATAAAATGCTTCGCACACACAGGAGGTTGCATTGATGCAGTTCAAAGAAGCACAGAAAGCACTAATAGGATGAGAATCTCATGGATCAAAAATCATCAAAACATCCTTAAAAAGAGGGGATTATAATGAATGTTATCCAGTTCTACGCATCCATCAACAATGGCGATGAAGACGATGATGGTCAGTTTTATGAAAGGCTGAAGAATATCGTGGGGGAATGCTTCAGAAAAGACCTGGTTATCTTGGCGGGGAACCTGGATGTCGAGATCGGTATGGACAGTACATGGTACGAACGAATCATGTGGCGATATGAACTGGGAAAATAGAACAAGAATCGTGAAAGACTGGAAAATCTATGGACTTTCAACACGGTCAAAGTTGGCACCCTTTTCCCTCACAAGCGCATAAATAAAGCCTCATAGGTTTCACCGAGCTACACTAAAGAGAACCAGACCGATCACATTTGCATGAAAATAAATGAGGAAATTCCATGAAGGATGTGAGAATAAAGAGAAAAGCTGATATCGCTTCAGATCACCACCTGATGCTGACCGGGATTAAATTGAAGCTAAAGAAGCACTGGATAACTGGGAGAACAGCATTACAAAGGTCTAATACAGTCTTGTTTCGAGATCATAAAAAATGTGGCGAATTCAAAATAGCTCTCAGTAACGGATTCCAAGCCTTACAAGATCTACTCAAAGAGGAGGAAACCACTATGAAGACCAACCCAAAAAGGGAATGAAGAAGCACTAGCTTCAACATCCCAGGAGGTACTGGAACACATGGAGAACCAGAATAAAGAGTGGATCTTAACTGATATCCTGAGCAAGAGCTAAAACATGAAGAACTAAAGAACAACTGTCAAAAACAGCTGAAGAAAAGCAGAGGAAATAAGGGCACGGGTCGAATACACAGACGCAAACAGCAGAGTTAGGAGGAGCATTAGACCCCACCAGTAGAAATACGTCGAAGACATAACAACGACAGTGGAAAATACCGTAAGAAAAGTCAGCATGAAACAACTATACGATACAACGAGGAAACTACCAGGGGAATGCGGTAAACCAGAGCGATAAGTCAATGAAGAAGGCAAATCAATCACTGAGTATCCAGAACAGCAGAACAGGTAGGTAGAACACTTTGAAGAGTCCTTGAACAGATCAGTCTCACTGAACCCACCGGAAATCGAAGCAGTACCTATGGACCTTCCTGTAGATGTTACCCCATCAACGATCATATCAAATTGAGAAAACAATAAGTCAAGAAGGCATACCATCTGAAGCATTGAAGTCACATATAGATGTAACTGCAAATATGTTCCATGTTCTCTTTAGAAGAATTAGGTGGGGTAGGACAAGTACTAATAATATGAGGAATACCTCACCAAGGTACCAAAGAAAGAATCACAGTAATTGTGAGAACTACAGAGGGATCACGCTACCGTCAGTACCAAGCAATGTTCTTACCGGTGTTGTTCAACCGCATGAAAGATTCGAAATCAACAGGCTGGATTTCGTAAGGATCGATAGTATATAGACTATATCGGGATACTATGAATTATTGTTGAGGACCCAATTGAATGGGACTCATCATCATACATCAACATACTTGACTACGAGAAAGCATTTGACAGGAAACATAGAAACAACGCGTAGAATCTTCTTCGATATTATAGATAACCTGAGATTACCACCATTATATGGAACTCTTATGGGGGACTTGGCTCCAAATTCGGGGATGAAGGATAACTCATCGATGCATTACGAATGAGGACTAATGCTAATGAGACTGCCTATACCAACCTCTCTTCATTCTTTTGGTGATTGGTTGGATCATGTAGACCTCCATATATTAAGGGAAGCACAGAATGCAGAAGACAGCTTGGATGTCATTAGACGATTTGCACTTCACACAAAACTTTACTCTCCTATCGCAAAAGTAAGATACTCAAATACAACAATGCGTACACCAACTAAATCACACTTAATGGTGAAGCTTTGGACGAAGTGGAACCTTTTACGTCCCTGGACAAAACTGTCTATAAACAAGGAAGATATGAAGGCACGGATCGATAAAAAGAAGGAGAGCATTCATACGACTGAAGAGTATATGGAACTGCAAAGAACTGTCATCCGACATCAGAGTCAGGTTTTTCCCAATAAACTTTCAAACAGTTCTATTGCACAGAGGTGAAACATCTTAGCATGACAGCAGTAAATGATAAAGAGTTATATTAAATAAGTTCCTCAACTTTTAACAAACTTTAATATTGCTCAAATATACGATATAAATTCCCATACTACTCATATAGTTATCATACATATGCGTAACTTTTGAATGCCAAAACATGTTTTGATAAACAGAGGGTGTAACATTCATTCATGACAACAGATACGAACCAATTGAACTTGACAACATGGTGAGAATTTATGGATTAAACTATATTAAATCTCATGTACGTTGTCCAATTGCCCAAATAGTGAAAAAATATAAGACTAGATTTGAATACATGACATTTAGGTAGAACGACGATCCACCTAGGGGAGTTCGGAAACCCTCATTCCAAACCAATCGTGCACATGGGCTCCAGGATCCTAAAGGAACAAATGGTGTATGAACCAATTGTTGGTCACCGGTTACCATGTAACTGCATCTCTTTACGTTGCTCTACTACCTTGTGGATTAGACATGAAGGTTAAAGGCTCTGGGTGTGGCCCCCTAAGAAAACCACCTGCTTCGATCTAGGCACCCTGACAGTATCACAGCCCACACACAAATCAAGTAACTAGTGTGGTGCATATGTATTTGGTACCCCTTTGTACCAATGTTTATGGGTGTAAATAAATAAACAAAATAAATAAAGTATCTAGTTTATAAAAAGATATGCAACTGAACGTTTCATGCAATGAGACGAGTTCTAGTCATGAATTAAGTAGTTAAGTTACAAAAAATAATGATAAAATAAGTGCGTTCACACATAGAAGAGTTAAAAAAAAGGATAGAAATCCTACCCAAGATTGTCTAGATAATCGATCCAAAAGAAAGAATAACATTCGTTTCAATTGATCTTCGGTAATATTACACCATGATTCTAATTGATACAATGAACATTCAGCTAACATAACATCTTGACATTCAGGACAAAGCCATACATCTGGAAAATCTGTTGCACATAAACAAGTTGCATGAAACACTCTTGGACAATAACTACATATAACAACCTAAGTAAATCAGAGGAATTTGAGAGAGAAAAAACGAAATAATGGATAAATCTCTATGATATGGAATAATCACCAAGTAACGTTTAACAATAAAAATAAGGAACGTAAAATATGATCCTATTGTAATTTCACACTCTCTAAAACTTCAAACAAAGTGGGTCATAATCAACAAACAGAAAATTCAAAGATGAAATTACTGAAATAGTTAACTATAGAATAAATGCTGAAATGAAGATTGTTTATCGTAAAGTAAAATTGGACATTTTATATGAAACGAGATACTTCCTCAAACAAAAATCGACAAGCTGACTTTTATCAACTTACATGTACGTGCTGAAACATGTACATTGAAAGTATTGAGAGAAGAGTCAGTGTTTGCGTCACCGAGTACGTTCCAAAGAATTGGAGACTGAAAGTTGTATTGGCTGTAAACAGTGTAATTGTTCAGGATTCAACTGATACCGGATATATCATTGATATTCTCCCAATACTTCAAAATTATCAACAGACATAAAAACACAGTCCCCTCGGACTTCATTTAATCACTGTTTCGCCTCCCTCTATGTCTCTTTTTATTGAATCACATCACCAAATAACCTCATACTTGTTTATTCTCAAATATATAGATAGGTAAAAGGCGTAAGATTTATCCGCCAAGTGCCCTGGTATGGCAGAGAGTGGGGAGTCAGCTCTCCCTCTCGAAATGCTCTCACATAGCTACCCATGTATAGCCTCTGACAGGGAAGTCCTACACACTGTCTTCTCCTACCAGGGGTGTTGTTTACGAAATTGAGAGGACAAAAAGCGAACATCCGGCGCTTTAACCGGTTTAGTAGACACGAAGAGTCCACCTAGGGGAGTTGTAAAACCCTACTTTTAAACCAATGGTGCACATGGGCTCTAGTATACTGAAAGAACAAATGGCGTATAAACCAATCATTGGTCACTGGCTACCATGGGACTGCATCTCCTTACGTTGCTCCACTGCCTTGTGGATCAGACCTTTAGGTCGAAGGCTCTGGGTGTGGCCCCTTAAGAAAACCACCTGCTTCGATCTAGGCACCCTGACAGTATCACAGCCCTCACACAAATCAAGTGACTAGTGTGGTGCATATGTATTTGGTACCCCTTTGTACCACTATTTATGTATTCAAATAAATAAATAAATATAGATAGGTATTAGTAGTAATCTTTATTTTAATTCTTTCTGTCATCAATGTCAATTATTCCACATTGTCATGCCTCAATGTTACACATTCATATACATCAATGGTTGTAGGCAACTGATGAGAAACCATGAAATAAAGTGAATTCATATTATTTTACCTCAATTATTGTTTTGACTTCATTCGAACAGAAGTTAATCAAACAAGATTATATTTTTAGTAAGTTGACATTTTTAAGGAGTATATACTTTGAATAATTTAAGAACAGGATTCAATGGTTCGTCAGCTGAAGTGAGTTGGTAGCGTATGTTTACTGGAGACTACGTAGCTGTAGCGAGAATAAGGTAAGCGATGTTGAGAGTGAGTGTGCAGCAGTAACTCAACGACGATATCAGTTGGATTTATAAATACAAGCTGAATGGAAATGTAAACCCTTAAATCCAAACTCAATTGTTTAGAGATACTATATCCACCCTGTGAAATGTATAGATTGCAGTCAAAGAGCAATTTACGACTTGATTTTTTAATCACTGTGAATCGCAGGTCCGAAGCTCGGTTTCCTCATTTCAGCCCAAAGAAGAACAAATCATTAAACGTTACAAATTGATACTTCGTTACAGAAAAGACAGATGATGACAGACTCAGATGATGACTTCATAATTAAAGCATTCAAACATTTGGTTAAATATTAAAATTTCGTTTAACCTAATTTGGTTTCACTTTTTTATGGTTAGAATTACGACTATTTACATATAATAGGCTTTAAGACATACATTCAGTGTGTAACGGTTAGTGATGTTAGTACTTGACTGCTGAAAAGTCAAACTGTTTAATGACGTTTAAAACTGATGTTTAGTACTTTAAAAGTTAAATGTTTTATAATGAGAGAGATTTTGTGGATATTATAGTAATTTATTCATTGAATTCGTTAGTTCTAGTGAGAAGTCGTGACCAGTGGAGTTCAACTGGGTCACTTGTGAGATAGTAACTCACTGACGACAATGGTGGACAGTCAGTCAGTCACTCAGTAACAACGTAGAACTTCGTACGTACGTATGTACATCAGTTCAAGTTGCCATAACACATTACCGCAGAGATGCAGTTGTCGATTCAAATCCCATAGTGGTAGAGGTAGTAAAATTATAAGCAGTAATCGGAAACATTAGGCTTTGAAGATGTTATTCAAGGAGTATAATCCAGTGAAATAAATTTCGAAAGAGAAAAAACAAGGGACATGAAGAATTCAGAAGATTAGAATTCGGGAGAACACAAAGAGTGGATGCACCTGAGCCATTGCAAACGATTTTGACCCATGTCATTAAAGATCTCTAACCATCGGTTACTATCGCCTCGCGGACCCTAACTAAGTAGTTTACACATACCAATATGGCTCAGTCCTATTGTCAGGGTCTTCATGGATTTGTGCCACGTCTTAGTCTGGCCACCCCTAGCTCTCTTCCAACCTACTCCTACACCATAAAACATCACACATCGAAGCAGTCGGTGGTTTGTCATATGTAACGAATGTGTTATGTCCCGACAAGAATAATGAATGGTAACTTTTGGGATCTATATGTGGACCAATACTATACGTATATTTTTATCGTATAATCGTTAATTAACTAAACTAATCATATTCACATCTCTCTTATTATAAGCTGTATTTTAACCTATGAACTGTTATTATACGATTTTCCATTCTTGAATTATTCCCTGTCTATTAGTCAATGCCTCGCTCATTCACGGCCATATCTGGCTAATTCTTGTACAAATGTTGTTTCATATTTTATTGGTACGTTGTGGTCTGTTTGATTGGTATATAAAGTCAGTATGTTTGAAATATAATGATTCATATCGCACAGGCTTGGATTGGTGTTCTGGACTTGACTGGCTCGGCTAGGCAGGAAGCAGGACCAATCAGTACTTTAGGCTGCTCGCATGTGTCTTACGCATCCTTGGTCCGATCGATAAGTCACTGCTCTCCAATCGGCGATCACAAGTCATAACAACATGTCCAAGCCAACACAACTGATGAAGTTTCACTACTTCATCAATTAATTTGCCATCCTTACCTAGTACACGATTCCTAACAACTTCATTACTTAATCCTTGATACCAGGATATACGAGCAATGCTCAGAAGACACCTATGATCAAATACTAGTAACCTACGAATATCCTCTACTCTTACCGGCCATGTTTCACTGCCATCAATTAGGACGGAACGAACTGCTGCACAGTAAACCCGTCCTTTGATTGGTAGACGGATATCTCGCCTACGCCATAAATGACGCAAGTTTTGGCAGAAGTTAGTCGAGCCTTTTGTATCCTTGCTGCGATTTCGCCACACACTGGACCATAAGGGCTGATGAGATTCTCAAGATTAGTGAAGCAATAGACACGCTCCACTACCTTACTCCCTATCATTAGTTCGGGTGTCGATGCAACCCAATCCTGAAGCAACATTTTACATTTCGAGAGGGAGAATCGTATCCCAAACATGCTTGCATTGTTGCTTAGCGTGGCCAGAAGAGTTTGCATTTTTTTTCAGCGTCTTCACCAAATAGAACAAGTGAATTTCCTGGATGGTGGCACAACTTCGTGAATTAATTGAAGTTAAACATTAACACTGTTGGATGCCACTCTAACTCAATGATCTAGAGGTTAAGCGTTTGCGCTTGAAACTGATAGATCTTGGATTCATTATCCCGTAAACCGGGATCATAAATGCACACTACTAAATATTCCCATACTAAGATGAAATATTCATCCAATACTTCCAGATTTTTCATGATGACCTAGCTTCAATTAAATATTTTAATTACTAGGTTATCTATCGATCATATAAACAAAACCAAATAACTATTATAGAGAAATACTCACTTCACCAGGTTTATGACATATCCAACAATAATCATCTGATTCCATAATTTTACTATTATTATTATTATTATTATTATTATTATTATTATTATTATTATTATTATTATTATTATTATTATTATTAATGATATTGCTATGTAATGGACTAGTTTCATGCGAAGAGATAGATTCATTTAATTGTATATAATCATTCCGTATACTTTCATTATTCGATAATTGAGGGATCTGTTTTATGGTAGGATTATTATTATTATTTGTAATTATTGTTAATTCAGAAGGATGATCATTCATAATTATTGATTCCTTCTTCTTTTTCTTATTCGTTATATTATTCTTCTTATTTTTATTATTATCCTTTGTAGACCATGTTATATCATCAACAGTATCTAAGTCTATATATTCATCGGATTCACTATCTGATAGACATTGTGTAAATATTTTTGATGAATTATTCCGAACTCGAATAGAATCAATATTAGCGTCATGATGTATTTTATTATTATTATTATTATTATTATTATTATTATTATTATTAGTAGTAGTAGTAGTAGTAGTAGTAGTAGTAGTAGATGATGTAATATTTAAAAGTGAAGATTCTTTTGGTGACATTATCTGATGAATAGTACTACTATCAGTAATATTAGTAGTATTATCATCAGATAATGAATTATATGATTGTAAAGGATTTGATTGTGATGATAAGTGTTGTAATTGTGATGATAAAGAAGTATAAGGACAAATATCAGAATTGAAATCAATATCAATTGATTGCTTTGATAAGTCATTATTAATGACTGTTATTAATTGAGTTGAATTGTTAGTGTGATCCAATTCTACTGTATTGTTATCACTGGTGTTACCTAAAAGAAAAGAAAATAGATAATTCTTTGGAAAACATGATTAAAAATGCAAATATCATTACTTTATGAGATTACAATTATATTAAAGATAATTATTTAATCTAACAGTTAAGATCATGAGTTAATTGAAGCTAAACCACCATGGAAAACCTGGAAGCACTGGACGGTTGTTTCGTCCTGGTATAGAACTCCTCAGCAGTATGCATCCACGATCCCGCCTCATGAAATCCGAACCCAGGACCTATCGATCTCGCGTGCGAACGCTTAACCTCTAGACCATTCAGCTAGCCAGCATCCAATGGTCTTAATATCCAACTACAACCAATCAACGAAATTGCACTGTGGTGTGAGCTACTTATATTGATATGAGTAGTATATAACATGAGTTAAAAGAACGTGATGTCTGGCAGCAGAAAATGGGGAAGATCAAGAAAGGAAGAGCGAGAACACAATGGAATTTGTAAGAAAACGCATGAAAAATCGAATGGGAGACAATGGATTGGTGTTTGCAACAGAAACAGTCCAGTTTGGTTTAATGCATGAACATTTTGCAAATTGACAATTTACTATATGGTAGTCAGATTTTATTGAGATAGTCTGTAATTGTTGTGTTAAATACATTCGATTGTCCCCACCCGTGTTCTAGTTCACTACAGCACCATCGGCCTGGGTTCGAATCCCATGAGGCGGGATCATGGATGCGAATTGCCGAGGATTCCCATATTAGAATGAAACAATCGTCCAATGCCTCCAAGTTTTCCATAGTGATCTAGCTTCAACTAACTTGTGAATTCAACGATTACCTTATTAAATTAATAACAATTTTTAAATCTTTTCTCTTTATATTTGATTGAATAAAAAAGCATAGCAAACTGATTTTAATATTTTAACCTTAAAATAATCATAAAAGACGAGTATGAAAATGAACCATAATTAACCTTAGTGATAAATATTAAATCTATCGATCCTGATAATCTTCTATCCTCTTTATTACAATAGACAATTAGAAACAAGGACAATAAATCTCTTTTATTGGTATAATTCCATCATCTTATAGTATAAAATCTTATGAATCTACTGTGTGAAAATGATACATTATAGTTAGAAAACCATAATTTGTATAGAAATATGTCACTCACTTACAATATATAACTGAATGACAAATGTATAATTCACTAACAATTAGGTTAATACAAGTTAATACATAATGAAAGTATATAGATATAATGAATCACAGTAGAACAGCTTTTTAAAACATGCCAAGGCTTAGAGTGTGAGCCCCCTAAGAAAACCATCTGCTTCAATTTGGGTATTTCAGCAGTATTCCAGCCCCCACACAAATCAAATGATTTATATGGTGCATATCTATTTGGTGACTTCTCGTACCAATGTTAACGTGTTTAAATAAACAAATAATAATAATTCCACCTTTCCTAATTATTTGGACTATATTTAGCACAAGCATTCTAAATGGTGATTTACTGAGAGTTGGATTAAACAGTACCTATTTATTTATTTATTTGAACACATAAATATTGGTACAAAGGGGTAACAAATACATATGCGCCACACTAGTCACTTGATTTGTGTGAGGGCTGTGATACTGCTCGGGTTCCCAAGCCAATGCAGGTGGCTTTCTTAGAGGGTCACATCCAGAGCCTTCGACCTAAAGGTCTGATCCACAAGGCAGTGGAGCATCGAAAGGAGATGCAGTCACATGGTAGACGGTGACCAACAATCGGTTCATACGCCATTTGTTCCTTCAAGATCCTGGAGCCCATGTGCACCATTGATTTGGAATCAGGGTTTTTCAACTCCCCTAGGTGGATTCTTCGTGTCTACTAAACCGGTTAGAGCTCCGGATATTCGCTTTTCGTCCTTTTAATTTTGTAAACAACACGCCCGCTACGAGAAGGCAGTGAGTAGGATTTCCCTCGCAGAAGCTATATACGCGTGGCCATGTGAGAGCATTTCGAGAGGGAGACCGGACTCCCCCCACTCTCGGCCGTACCAGGGCAGTTGGAAACTGCTACAACTACCACTGAACCGAAAGAAAGCAAACATTACTGGTATTTGTCATTGAGTTAACCATTGTTACACTGACATTTACAGTTGTTAAGGTAGTAGTCCAATGAGAATAGATTCAACATACGCACAACATGGTTTAAATTCGTAAGAAAAAAAAATGAATAAATATTGAGTACTAACCCCATTAAACCACTGAGTCAGTCAGTCAACTACAACGTAGGACCAGGCACATATATGCATCGGTCCAAGTTGCCATACCTCAATAACACAACAAGATGGACACCGGATTCATAAAACTAGTTGCTGCCTTGACGTGGTGGTCGTGCTTGCCAATCGTGATGAACCAATCGAGCTATAATGGCTGGAACAACCGTTTCTCAAGGTGCTACCATGTCAGACAGGTCGGTTGAAGAGCGGTAAGACTAAAAGCAACAAACCCAAGTTCTGAGGGCGAAGTCGTACTGCTGAATGTACACAGGTGTGACAGCAGTAAGGTGTTTCCTTCAGACAACCAGCATGACAGCGATGCTGCCTTTCCACAAGGAGGGGTGGGGTTAGAAAAAGTCGACCCTAAAAATGCACACCTCGCCTTATCCCACGGATATCCGTCTCCAGCGGTAAGGTCTCAACAGGTACGGAGCTAACACAAAAATTACCCATAAAATGGTCGTGTGTGACCGACCCCAGGTAGTTGTCTCTTGGGCACTGCGGTCACGCTCTCAGGTCACTAAGACCACCTCTATTCCAATTTCCTTATCAGGTAACTCCAGAAGAACCCTTTCACGGTGTGGGCAACCGGGAAGTGATAACCGCCCTCATACCTCTAACAGCACTCAAGACCACTGTATTCATAATCAACCTCCGTCTTCACTTCCTTAAACCACTGAACCCTTATTAAATTCGAAACAGATTATTATATAATTTACAAACACATGATTGATATTCCAAATAGGGAAATGGTTATTAATAACTTTATTAATCATGAGCTTTATGCTCAGCAACCCATACAATGATGATCGAATTTCTCTAGTTAGCTTATATAGTTCCTGGACGGTACTCGCTTCGACGGTACGGCCGAGAGTGGGGAAAGTTTGGTCTCCCTCACGAAATGCTCTCACATGGCCACGCGTATATAGCCTCTGTCAGGGAAGTCCTACTCACTGCCTTCTCCTACCAGGGGTGTTGTTTACGAAATCGAGAGGACGAAAAAAAATTTCCGGCGCTCTAAACGGATTGGTGAACACGGAGAGTGCATCTAGGGGAGTTAGAGAACCCTGGTGCACATGGGCTCCAGGATCGTGAGGGAACAAATGGCTTATCAACCGATTGTTGGTCACCGGCTTCCATGGGATTGCATCTCCTTACGATGCTCTACTGCCTTGTGGATCAAACCTTCAGGTCGAAGGCTCGGGGAGTGTCCCCCTAAGAAAACCACCTGCTTCGGTTTGAGCAACCGGGCAGTATTACAGCCCTCACACATATCGAATGACATTTGTGTGGTGCATATGTATTTGGTGCCTCCTTGTACCAATATCTATGTGTTAAAATAAATAAAAACTAAAATTGGAACGATACATAGATGATTGGCATGGCCCCCGAGCAAGGATGACAAGCAAAATCGTGAAGCGTTCCATATTTTTGCCCCCAAACGCCCTGGTACGAGCCAGAGTGAGGAGATTTAGCTCTATCTCAAAATGCTCTCAAATGGCCACGTGCACACTGCCACTGTCAGGGAAGTCCTGCCCACTACCTCCTCGCCACATTACTGTTGTTTAAGAAATTCAGCGAATGTCCGGAGCTCTAACCGGGTTGGTGGGTATGGAGGATCCACCTAGGGGAATTGGAAAACCCTCATTCCAAACCTACGATGCACATGGGCTCCAGTATCCTGGGGGAACAAATGACGTATGAACCAATCGTTGGTCACCGGCTACCATGGGATTGAATTTTCTCACGTTGCTCCAATGCCCTATGGGTTAGATGTTTAGGTCGAAGGTTCCGAGTGTGACTCCCTAAGAAAACCACTGGCTTCGATTTGGGTACCTGGACAGTGTCTCAACCCTCATATAAATCGAATGATTTATGTGGAGTATATCTATTTGGTGACTCACTGTACCAATGTTTATGTGTTTAAATAGATAAATAAACTTTGAGTAAGCTTTTTAAAGCCAAACCACAAAACTCCCTAAACTATAAATTTTAAACTTGTTAGCATTTATTACCATGGGGTATTCTATTGCCTCGAGAAAATACCACTAGATATTCAAAATGTTATCGTTCAAAGATGAACCTTTGAACACTGATAGATAGTTTATAATCCTGGCTACGAATAACATTTCACTCCATTACACGAATCAATAAAACTGAAGTTTTGAATGATTCAATAACAAAGTCATACAGTAACAAATAGTCTAATATTTGCTTTTTTTTTTAAACAAAGCAACAACAACAACATTGATTACTTACCTGATTGTGTATTTGCTAAGGGAGGTGTAATATCAATATTATCAGAAGAAACATTGGATTCAAGATGCATTTCTTGTCGAGCCTAGTGAAATATAAGTATTAATGAAACACTTAAATATATCCATTTTTATCTAAATCAAACCAATTTTTAAGGTAAATGTTTTGGATTATAAATGAAATTTTAAAGCTTACCAATTTAACTACTACAGGTTGTGAAATCATAGACTAAACAGGGACACAAAGAGTCCACCTAGGCGATTTGGAAAACTCTGATACTAAATCAATGGTGCACATGGGTTCCAGTATCCTGAAGGAACAAATGGCGTATGAAAAAATTGCCGCCGGCTGCTATGAGACTCCATCTCCTTACGTCACTCTACTGCCTAGTGGATTAAACCTTTAGATCGAAGCCTCCGGGTGTGGTCCCTTAAGAAAACCACCTGCATTGGTTTGAGCACCCGGGTAGTATCACAGCTCACACATAAATCAAGTGGCTTGTGTGACGCATATGTATTTGGTGCCTCCTTGTACCAATATTTATGTTTTTAAATAAATAAATACAGAAATAAAACTACGCAAATATAAATTCTAGGTATCAGTAAAAAGCGACATTAATAAGTTCATATTATGTGGCAGATGATTTTTTAGTATAACTCTAGAATTGTGTCATTATTGAAATAACCAAACAATAGAGGGTTTTAAAGAACCACATATATATTTTTTCAGCATTTAATAGAGTTCCTCTGAGTCATTACTGTTATAGAAATCGTAGAAAATCGACATAACCACCATTACTTCGATAGTCCAAAACGAAGTTTTACTTAAGATTGATATATTATAAGCGAACCGAATAAATATCCTAAACAGTAGCCAGCGAAACGAGAGAATTAATTCATGAATGGACTAATGTATATGTAAGTGAATGAGTAACAATAATCCGAAACCTAAGCAGTTGAAATGTAAGTAGGTAAGCGGATATTTGTACAAAGACGTTCATATTTAGAAGAGCACATTCAAGAAATTTAATTATACAGAAACACATACAAGTTATCGATAGGACTAAAAATGACACGTCTCTGATAGCCTCATAAGCTAGGCTTAGGTCTAACTAGTTCAAACAAGAAACAAGTTTACGTAAGCACAATGCTTTTATAAATGACAACTTTCAAAGCAAAGCGGAAGATAAACAGTAAATACATGGAGCATATAGACTGATTTTTAATTAATATTACCCTAATCTTTCATTCGCAACTTAAAGAAGGGTGAAATGAACAGATGTATTCTAGCCCAATGGTTGGCAGGAAGATATTTAGGATGCACGACTGCTCATGAAGGCAAACAAACATTAAACGGCTTTTTTTCACGTATGTTGAAATTTTATCACCCGCTCAACTCAGAAGATTGAATAACAATACTGATGTTAGTTAGTACAAATACTTCTCACCCTACTGTCAACTTGTAGACATACATAGATCAATCTGGACAAATACTTACAGAAAGCAAAAAGACATCTTAAACATTCTTATGCTATTGTTACATTGGCATCAAAAGAAAGAATTTTGTCTTTCACAGTTCACCAAGTACTGAACAAGAATTATCGAGCAGTCTTAAACTAAGGAATAAATGACTCAAAAATGTTATCCAAGTTAATAAACAGTCAGTGGTTCACCGGGTCCGTTGTGAGATAATAACTCAATGATGACAATGGTGGATGTGTCGCTCAGTTTCGTTGATTGGTTGAAGTTGTACATTAATGCCATTGGATACCGGCTAGCACAGTGGTCTAGTGGTTAAGCGTTTGCGCGCAAAATCGATAGGTCTTGGGTTCGGATCTCGCGAGGCGGGATCGTGGATACGCACTGCTGAGGAGTCCCATATTAGGACGAAACAACCGTCCAGTGCTTCCAGGTTTTCCATGGTGGTTTAGCTTCAATTAACTCATGATCTCAACTATTAAAATTAAAAATGATACTTGGATATTTACCATTTTCATTTGTTTCAATCTAGAAATAGCATACAATATAGAGCGACGTTTCCCCGACGATGGTGGTGATGATACTTCAGCTGAAATTTAGAGTGAAATGAATATTTTTTCAGTTGGATTGTATGGAGGTGGAAAAACAAAACAGTTTTTTAGAAAAGTTTATGGGAAGAAATTATGAAGTGAATAATACACTATTCAACAGACCATTTAACTCAGCTCTATGTATACTTTGAATTTTGTAACCGGATCGTATAACTTAGTCGCCAATCGATTACATGGAATTATAATTAGTAACCAAGTTGTAATATAAGGTTATTTTTCTGAAGAATTAATGGATGAATGAGCGAATGAAAGAATAGAATACTGATGACCAATGAATGATATTATGTAGCCAACTGATAACTGCTCAATAACATACCAAGTATTAAAATAAACAAGTCAGTTAAAACATAAGACAATGGAAGATACGGCTACGGAAAGTAAGAACTAGTTGTGCTAATGTGTTATGGTACATATGTGCCTGGTCCTACGACGTAGATGACTGACTGAAGAACTCGTTATTAGGCTTAATTCTTTCATGGTAAATCATATACATTATTATTGTTATCAGTATTTATTTATTTATTTATTTATTTGAACACATAAATATTGGTACAAGAGAGCGCCAATATATATGCGCCACACAAAACAATGGGAATTCGAAGAGAAGTAGAAAGAAGAAAAAAAACTAAGGAACGCAAAAGAAAAAGAGAGTAATGACGAAGAGGTACAATCAGAAGAAATCTTTCAGGTAAAGGAGACACAACCACTTTTTATGAAGAAAGTAAAAGAAGGTTACAGCAGGATCGCCACTGGCTTCTATTCTGAGCCATATCTGATAACGTCTCTAGCCACTGTGTTGCACCATCTCTCGGACCCCAGCCAGGGAGTCGTGAAGGACCAACACAAGCCAGTCCTTTGCAGCTTTCTTTCATGCCACGACACCATGTCATGCACTGACCACCTCTCCGCTTCTTCCAACCAGTCCCAGAGTCGGCAAATAATGCACGACGTGGAATTCTCTGGGACGACATTCGGAGAACATGTCCAAGCCACCGAAGTCGGTGTTTCAACATGGTGACACCAATTGAGTTATCATCTCTGTGCCCGAACACACGATGCCGAACCTCTGCATTACTGACATGGTGTTGCCACTGAATGTCAGCAATCCTTCGGAGACAGCGATGATCAAACACAGAGAGTCGTCTAACGTCCTCAACTCGGAGAGGCCAGGTTTCACAAGCATAGAGCAAAACTGCTCTCACCGACGCGTTGTAGATCCGGCCTTTTACAGCCAGACTGACATCACGAAGGCGCCAAAGGTGGCCCAGATTGGCATAAGCCGCTCTGGCTTTCACTATTCGTGCATTGATCTCATCACTCACACCCCCACCAGCACTTATGCAGCTACCCAGATACACGAACTTCTCAACTACGTCTATCTGCTCACCATCCAGGGTGAGTACAGGATTGGGATCCTGCCAGTCTTGTAGAAGTACTTTGCACTTCGAAGGTGCAAAGCACATACCATACCTATGGACATTGATTGCCAACTGATTAAGTGCGGATTGCATGCCTTGGGCATTATCGCACAGTAAGACAATATCGTCCGCATACTCAAGGTCGAGAAGTCTTTCTCCAGGCAACAGATCCACACCACCATTACTTACATTCATCAGAGCTGTTTCCAGAATGTCATCGATGGCAAAGTTGAAGAGGAATGGTGAGATTGGGCAACCCTGACTAACCCCACTGCTCGAATGGAACAATGGAGAGAGGTGGTTGTATGCCCTCACTCTGCCTGAGGTGTTTTTATACAGGGCTTTTAGGATGTTATTAAACTTCTCAGGCACACCCTTCTTCAATAGACAATCCCAGAGAACAGTCCTATCCAACGAATCGAAGGCAGCCCTGATGTCAAGAAACACTACGATTGTTGGCCTTTGAAAAGTATGGCGGTGTTCTAACATTTGGCGGAGGGTGAAGATATGATCAATACATCCTCGACCAGAACGAAACCCAGCCTGCTCCTCGCGAGTCAATCTTTCTCGGGTTTTGAACAACCTACGAAGAATGACGGAAGCCAATAGCTTGGACGCAATCGGAAGTAAACTTATCCCCCGATAGTTGTTACAAGAACGACGTGAACCCTTTTTAAAGATAGGGACAACTATGTTTTTGATTGAGATCATGAACCGTGGATTGGTTGAGGTTAGACATTAACATAGTTGGATGCTTGAACAGTGGTCACGAGGTTAGGCGTTTGCGTGAGAGATGAAAAGACTCAGGTTCGAATCCCGCAGGCGAAATCGTGGATACACACTGCTGAAGAGTCCTACAATAACACGAAACGGCTGTCAAGTGGTTCCAGGTTTTCAATGGTGGTCTAAAATCAGTCGGTTCATGATCTCAATCAAAAATACAGTATTATTATTATTACTATTATTATTATTATTATTATTATTATTATTATTATTATTATTATTATTATTATTATTATTATTATTATTCAGCAAATACCTCAGTAGCACCTTTTTCAGGAATTTCATTTGAAACACTGAAACAAAAATGAAGACTTTATGGGAACACTTATACAACTAAACAACAGAGCAGGATGAACCAGCAATCTAAATATTAACATAAGTAAATGGAAGACAAAGATTAATGAATATGCTCCCAAATGCACTGGTACAGCTGACAGTGGGGAGAGTCACCTCTCCCTCTTGAAATGCTCTCAAGTGGCCACGTGCATACAACCACTACCAAGGAAGTCCTACTCACTACCTCCTCGCAGCATTACTGTTGCTTACGAAATCGAGGACGAAAAACGAATGTCGGGCACCTTAACTGGGTTGGTGGACACGGAGAATCCAAGTAGAGGAATTGGAAAACCCTGATTTTAAACCAATGGTGCACATGGGCTCCAGTATCCTGAAGGAACAAATGGCGTATGAACCAATTATTGGTCACCGGTTACCATGTGACTGTATCTCCTCAGGTTGCTCCACTACCTTGTGGATCAGACCTTTAAGTCAATGGTTCCGAGTGTGGCCTCCTAAGAAAATTACCTGGTTCGGTCTGGGCACCTGGACAGCATCCCAGCCGACGCACAAATCAAGTGACTTGTGTGGAGTATATCTACTTAGTGCCTCCTTGTACCAATGTTTATGTGTTTAAATAAATAAATAAATAAAATTATTGAATATTCATTCACCTAATATATTCCATGAAAATTGCTCAATATCTACTTTAAACCAAAGAATATGATCTGGTGTGCAGTAGAATAATACACTAAGTATGATTTCAAAAAAGAAATAATAATTGTGTTTTATCTACTACTAATTCTTCAAAATACTCTGTATTGGTCTGCTGACTAATGTTATTATTATTTGAACATATTGATATTGGTACAAGGAGGCACCAAATACATGTGCGCCACAAAAACCTCATTCTATTTGTGTGAAGGCTGTGATACTGCCAGGGTGCCCAAACCAATGCAGGTGGTTTTCTTAGAGGGTCAAACCCAGAGCCTTCTACCTAAAGGTCTGATCCACAAGGTAGTGGAGCATCGTAAGGAGATGCAGTCACATGGTAACCAGTGACCAATAATTGGTTCATACGCCATTTGTTCCTTCAGGATACTGGAGCCCATGTGCACCATTGGTTTAAAAACAGGGTTTTCCAATTCCTCAACGTGGATTCTCCGTGTCCACTAACCGGGTTAGAGCACCGAAAATTCGCTCTTCATTCTCTCAATTTCTTAAACAACACCCCTGCCGCGAGAAAGCAGTGAGTAGGACTTCCCTCGCAGAGGCCATATACGCGTGACCATGTGAGAGCATTTCGAGAGAGAGAGAGCGGACTCTCCCCACCCTCAACCGTACCAGGGTATTTGGGTGCTGCTGACTAGTGAATAAAAATATGACATCTCATTTTAACTACAATAACGGTGAGACTATAATTTATAGACGACCTTTGAGTAATGCTAGAGTGAACTTGAGTGTCCACATAATAACTAAGACTAAATGAAGATTATAAACCAATGTGTGACGAATTAGAATTATGATTTACAGTTGATGGTTAAGGTTAAGAAATAGATTTTAGGTTTTCATCACAAACTGACATCAGTTATAATGCCAAAACTCTATTTAGACAAAAAGATACATAAATTTCACACCAAAACCCGAGACCTGTTATCTTATATCTGATTGATTCATTCATAAATTGTAGTCTCACCCTAATAATTAATGAACAAACATGAGATCTTCCTCATGCTCCAATCTGTCAATTATGTTTTCATTATTATTATTATTATTTATTTATTTTCCCCTGAAACAAATTGAAGACTATGGTTCAATAAACTTAAGGATCAAGTAAATAAGCTGCCACAGTAGCCCAACTAGTCTATAACATTCTAGTAAACATGATTGATAAGTTTTTTGAACATAAAGAATAAACAGAATAAAAACCTGAAGATAATAAATATTAATCTAGTACTTACGTATTGATGGAAGTGATGACATATGTGAGATATTTAACTTGTTTGTCATGGATGATTCAGTATTCAGTATATTTTGATTATCCATTAAATGTTGAAATGAAAGATCCATTAACAATCATTCTATTATTTTTTTTAAAAAAAAACAGTGATAAGCAAAGATTTTCTTTTCAATTTACAATTATCAAACATGTATATTAATTAAGATAGATAACCATCTTGAAATAACTAGCACACTTAAATTAAACAGTCTCAAGTAATGAGAAAAGATTAGTTGAGGGACATGAATGTAAATAAGTGGGTCATTGGTTTGTTTACTTATTATTTATTTAAACAAATAAATATTGGTACAAGGAGGCACTAAGTAGATATACTCCACACAAGTCACTTGATTTGTGCGTCGGCTGGGATACTGTCCAGGTGCCCAGACCGAACCAGGTAATTTTCTTAGGAGGCCACACTCGGAACCATTGACTTAAAGGTCTGATCCACAAGGTAGTGGAGCAACCTGAGGAGATACAGTCACATGGTAACCGGTGACCAATAATTGGTTCATACGCCATTTGTTCCTTCAGGATACTGGAGCCCATGTGCACCATTGGTTTAAAATCAGGGTTTTCCAATTCCTCTACTTGGATTCTCCGTGTCCACTAACCCGGTTAGAGCGCCGGGCATTTGCTTTTCGTTCTCCCAATTTCGTAAACAACACCCCCTTGTCGAGAAAGCAATGAGCAGGACTTCCTTGTCAGTGGCTGTATACACGTGACTATCTGAGAGTATGCCGAGAGGGAGTGCTAACTCACCCCACCCTCAACCGTACCAGGGCATTTAGGGACCCAAGACTGAGCGTGAAATCATCAGGACCCTATCCTGTTAACACAGTAATTCTAATTAGCGTTCATATAATAAGTGTTTCTCATAATCTAGCATAATAAAACTAAACACTGCCACTTGATATCTGCCATCTGAACTGATTAGACGTGTAGCTGAGTCAATATTACTACTTCAATTATTCTGGCATGTGTTCTGATAGTTTTACCTCGGTGTACTAACATAGTGTGAGAACTTCAACCAATGTACTAGGTCAGTCAGTCAGTAACAACGTAGAACTTCGTACGTACGTACATCAGTTCGAGTTGCCACACCACCTTAACACAGAGATGCAGTTGTCGATTCAAATCCCGTAGTGGTAGAATGTACTAGGTCGTATGCTGCTTATGACTGACTTAATTGAAATTATGAGATCAATGATGTTGAAGTGTGGGAATCAAAACTTTCAATAGTATGCAATTTGAATAACATTCGGTTACGATTTTTCACTGACGTAGGAATTAAGATCATAAAGCACTATCAGGAGACAAACAGTATGCAAACTGTAGCAAAAATCTTAGTCTTTATATTTGATTAAAATTATACGGTGTAAAACGGTAATAAAGTCTAACATAATGGAAGCATTGATTTTGTAAGGGTATAAAATAAATAGTTATGAGCCAGATACCCAGGCTCCATAAAACTGAATCGATATATTACGAAAACAAAATGAAGAGTAGTGAATTTCCCAGACGAACAAATCTCAAGGCTATCAAAAACCTAATTAATAATGTAGTCCATCTTCCAGGATCAGGTAGTAGATTTCAACGCTGTTTTGTCTATTTTAGTTTAGGTACCCTAAGAGTATCAATGCACCACGCCAAAACATGAAATACAGAGCTGGGAACAGAAAATCTGAGACTGATTGCTGTACTAAATTTACAATATACTAAAAGACCGAGCAGTCACTAAATATGTACAGGAACTGAGACAATCGTTTCAAAGTACCTAGCATACTTAAACTGAACAGTCTCGATTAGTGAAGTTTTATTTAGGGACCTAGTTAACAACCTGTGGGTCATTAGTTTACGTTTTGCTTATCCAGTCAAGTTTTAGGCAGTTAAGTATCAGTAACAACATTCATACAATATATGCTTTTTATAGTCGGACACAAATATATACAGTTACTGAGAGGCACTATTTACTCATTTAAGGTTATTAAATTACTACCATGCAAATGCTTAGACACCACTGAAAATGAGCTGAGTTTAATCTTACTGGAAACGCTCATTTGGCAGTGTCATTGATGCCTATACGAGAAATTACACCCAACATGAGAATTCGTTTTGTACCAAACTAACATTTAATACGTCCGTTGTGATTTCTCAAGACAAACATTGATGGCTGGATAGATTCATACAGTGAAATAAATACTTAAGTACCACTTAATTTAATGGAAAAGAACCGGTGTTTTCAACGTTTTATGGTCGCCGACCGTTGCTGATACCTTGACGTGGTAGTCGGGCTTGCCTATCACAATGAAGCAATCGAGCTATACTGTCTAAAGCATTCGTTCCTCAATGTCCTACCATGCCTGACAGGTCGGTCGAATGACGGTAAGACAAAAAGCAGCAAACCCAAGGTCTGAGGGAGAAGCCGTACTGCTGACTGTACGGAGGTGTGACAACAGAAAGGTGTTTCCTTCAGCCAGCCAGCATAACAGCGATGCTGCCTTCCCACAAAGAGTGGTGGGGTTAGAAAGGGTCGACCCCATGAATTTCGGTCTCCAGCGGTAAGGTCTCAACAAGTACGAAGCTAAAACAAAAATTAACTACAAAAAGGTACTCAAGACCACTGTATTCTTAAACAATTTCCTCCCACAATGTCTATTATTCCCGCTACTTCAACTATCAACTCAAGTGTCACCATAGCCAACGATTCTAGTGCGCAAAATACTGTCCCAAGTCTACTGAAACCTCGCTCCAAACTACACATTGTAGCCTTCAACGTACGCACCCTATGTCAAATCGGCCAGTAGGCTTCCCTGGCTAAAAACCTAGAATCTCGTATCATTGATGTATGCTGTGTCTCCGAAACATGCATACAGGATCCCAGTGTGGTCATTCACTTGACCTTACCTCGGCAAAACGGAGAGCCAACGAGATACACCCTCCGTGTATCTGGTGACCCGACGGCCAGTTCTCGTGAACTGGCAGATGTGGACATAGCACTAAGCATGAGGGCGGAACAAACACTGTTAGAGTGGATCCCCATCAACAGTCGTTTATGTGGTGTTCGGCTAAACGGCTCCATAAGAACTCGGAAGGATATGGACATACATCGTTGCCTTTTCGTCGTTTCTGCATACGCTCCCACTGACTACAGTCTGGATGAAGTGAAGTCAGTCAGCTACAACGTAGGACCAGGCACATATATGCATCGGTCCAGGTTGCCATACCGTATTAGCACAGAAAGATGAACACCGGAATCATAGGAGTGGTTAGGTCAAAGGTGGTAATATATAGGAGAAAAACTGCATATAAGGATATAGTACAGAAACAAAGAATTAGTTAGTAAAAAGAAAGATATGAAGTGATTTTAATCTCTTAGTTTAAGGGAAGACAGTGAGTGTATACACCTACGCCATTGTGATCGATTCTGAGCCATGTCACCAAGAGTCTCCAACCATCGGTTACGAAAGTCACGCGGACCCCAACCAAGTAGTCTGCATCTACCAACATAACTCAGGCTAGAGGTTAGTGTCTTCAACCACTGATGCCACGTTTTGGTTTGGCCGCCCCTAATTCTCTTCCAACCATCTCTAACACCCGTTAGCATTGCACGACGTGGTAATCGATGTTCAAGCATACGTAACACGTGGCCCAACCATCTCAGTCGATGAAGATTCATAACCTCATCAACTGATTTACCATCATTACCTAATACCCTGCGTCTAACCTCACTACTACCTACCTGGTGATCCCAACAGACGCCAGAAATATTTCTAAGGCATCTGTGGTCAAATACTTGTAGCTTACGGGTGTCCTCTACTCTTAAAGGCCATGTTTCGCTGCCGTAAAGTAAAACAGAACGGACTGCCGCGCAGTATACTCGTCCTTTTATTGATAGACGGATATCTCGCCTTCGCCATAGGTGACGTAAGTTGGCAAAAGCCAAACGAGCTTTTCGAATCCGTGCTGAGATTTCGTCCGATACCAGCCCATTAGGGCTGATCAGACTTCCAAGATAAGTGAAGTTGTCGACGCGTTCGACTTTTACAGAAAGCTGTCTGAACTTCTCCAGAAAGCTAAACGCTCAGACATAGTACTCGTAGCAGGTGACTTTAATGCACAGATAGGTAGCTTAAACCAAACAGAAAGACATTTAGGTGAGTATTTTAGTATTCCGGATCAGCGAACAAATAATGGTGATCGTCTGCTGCAACTGTGCTCAGACAATCGTTTATTTTTAGCAAACACTAATTTTAAGCATAAGGAGAGACATCGACTAACATGGAGACGCCCTGCACAGAAACAACGATAGGTTCAAATAAACCATATTGTCATTAGTCAACGTTGGAGAGGCTCGGTAGAAGACTGCCGCTCGCCCTGGAGTATATGTTTGGACGCTGACCGTTGTTATATAAGAAACATGATGTTATGTCTTGAAAAATCAGTAATATAAATGTGGGGTTGTGAATGAGATAAAACAGCTTAATATAAACGAACATAAGGTAGTTGAATCCTAATACAAACGGAAATACACTTTCACAAACATCTCTACACAGAGATACACTTGAGAAAAGGTACGAAGTCGAACCTAACAATTTTTTTAACCGACATTAACTGAAACTTCACAAACAACCAATAAAGGGGATATTCTGCTAAAAAAATAAGGGGATACGCAGCATGAAGTCTCTTTATTTGCCTTTCATGGGGAAATACTGCGATATTTCACCCGTTTGCCGCTCTATGTTTGAGATGTCGATAAATCGTCAACTTTTCATCTAAATAAGATATCTACCTTTCGGAATTGCATTTCAAGACACGAATGTTACCTGAGCCAATAGCCATAAATACTGTACACGTGATTTCACGTAATCATGCTTTAAAATCGCACGTTAAGACAGTTAAGTGATTCATGAAGATACAAGATAATATTAAGCTTTTGACCAACACTCAATAAATAGCATTAAACAATTTTGACATCCAGACAACTAAGAATACCATCTAAATATCCAAAACCCCAACTCCATCGACTATATTAGGTGTTCTCTTAGTCACATGACTATAATTTTAGTCCACTTAAGCTTACTCGCATAGTTGTATACTGTGGACACATTTCAGATCACATGAAAAATACAAAAGCATACCAACTTGATCGTATACTAATGGCGGTTAATTATAAAATCAATATTTTATTATATTATGATTCCATTACTACCACACACGACATCTGATAATTTACACCAACACTAAAAGCTAAGGCATGATCAGAATTACGTTAAACTGACTGTAAATTAGATCACAGCCTGGCAATATATCATTTGGTTGTTAGTGACCTGAAATTCAACGTGAGATGTAACCCCTAAGTCACAGTTAAATGCAAAGAAATCACCACTGAGAGTGGATTTGAATATGTCCAACCAAATATAACCTTGATGACCTACAAAAATAAACAAAAAAGTTAATTAAAAGGTAGGATGTTTTTAATAATGAGCATATGATTTACTTGATATTTTAGATTTCCATTTTGTGTTTGAACATCCTTATCAAACTGGTTAACGTGTTGTGTTCACAAGTGAACGTAAATTCGGTCTTTATACATCCCTTCATGTAGCAACTTCTTGACGATCTGGTTCGGTAGAACTTGCATCTTGATATTTGGGAACGGCTACGGACTCTTAAAATTTTTAACTGATGTATGTCTGACTAGTCTGTCTTTTTGGGATATGATATGGATGTTAAGACCGCATTTTGTGTTGAACCACTAGTAATGAACCACAATTTGTAGCCAACCTTTTATTTTTACCCACTTTTCCGCTCATCCATGTATAATCACTAACAAGAGCAATATTTGCTGTATTGACAGTAAACAATTTATATGCACCAAATTTATTTTTACTGATGTTTTTCTCACCGAACTTAATTGTTCATTTTTATTATTTATTTGTGCCTCCTAGTGTTTATGTGCATGAGGGCAAATGAATTTGCACGATAAATAGCCCTGTAAGCCTACAGCATTGATGCTGACCTCACAGGTTTAACTCAACACACTCCAACGTAAGACGCGTGGTCAAGCATCTAGATCAAGTCGCCATTGCGTACTCTGTGCTACACATCCCTATCAACAAACAGTAAGCACAAATAAAACACATAAATATACGGCATACCTTCTCAATACATCTTTGAACTTCTTTAATCCTAACTTTTAGTTTACCTGGTCTTGAAATCCACAATCATGAAGGTTTTGGCAATTGCGTGATCAATCCCTCCGTACCAGTGACATCTCTGGGTTTTAAATACGGACGATTTTCTCCATCCGTTTCATGCGTTGTGTAATGACAAGCTACCACAACCTCCTTGAGAGCTTCAAATCGCTGTACAGTGAAGGGGAAACATAGGTTCAACAGTTGAAGAGCTCTTGTAACTTATAAAGATAATAATTTATTCCCAAACGACAGTAACTCACACCGGGCATGCCAGTGCACAGGGAAAGTTTAAATGTTACAAATGCTTCAGGACTTACTGTAAAAAGTTAATTACTCAGCTAGATATCTCACAAGTCAAACTAGCCATAAATACAGAAGAAAAAGCTAATGAACATAAGTTTAATTGTTTATTTAAACATAAATATTAGTTTAAGGAGACGTCAAACACATATGTACCACACTTCACTCCATTTATGTGACGGCCCCGATACTCCCTGTGCGCCCAAAATAAATCAGGTGGTTTACTTGGGGAGCCACACTCTGAGCCTTTGACCTGGAGGTCTGATGGACAAGGCAGTGGAGCAACGTTAGGAGATGTCGTTCAATTGTAGCCGGTAACTAACATCATGTTCATATGCCATTTGTTCCCCCAGCATACTGGACCCCATGTCCACCATTGGTTTAAAATCAGGGTTTTCCAACTCCTCTACGTGAACATTCGTCTTACGTCCTCTCGATTTCGTAAAATGCACCTCTGTCATGAGTGCTCATTTAGAAGACTTGCTTGACATTCGCTGTTATATCAAGTCACTACCACAACCCGTAAGTCACTTTTAGGTTAGCCAGATCGTCATATATGGATGAGTCTTAAAACATGGATTGATAATACCTCTCCAAGCTACGTCCAACAATTTCTATATGCCCAAGATCCAGACACCACATATCCACACTCAGCATGTGTTGCAAACAGAATAGTGGGGAGAACTCCCGCTATAGATTCGCGGACGATACATCACACATGTCCAACCCACAATACAAATGCTTTAGCCATCTGATTTGATTGTAACATGAGACTAGCAGCGACAGTGTCTTCCAACAAGGGGCTTAGATTAAAGCATTATTCATACACGCCACAAACGTAACAGGGCCTAACATCACAAAAGTAGGGAGGTAATTCTTCTAACCAGCAAACATGAAGTTTAGGTGGATAACTTTAATCCACCCATGTCTGTAGGGCAGAATAGTTCGTTAAATTTTGGCTCCTTATGGTCACGAACCAATGGTATTGGTGCTAATTTATCATGCAAAATACCACTTTAAATAATGTTTACGACGTTGAATTGATTTCACTTACTACAAGGTGATCCTATACAAGAGAAACTGGACAATTCGCTAAAAGCGAAGCCTGCTCATGACCTTATAAAAATTATACAAATAAAAAACAGCTTCAAAAGAGCTTTGAAAAAAGGGAGATAGCCATTTGTGTATCAGAATACTGTCTTCATTACTAGATTTTCAAACCATACATAATCCTATACTTTCAGCTTATTTTGAACCACTTTTATTTACACAGTTCTTTGCCCATTCATTTCATGCAGAAGAATATAAGGTTGCCATTTTGAGAAGCTTTCAACTCTACTTATATTTATAGAATTATGATCTCTCTCACTACTAGTACTGCTATAATAGTAGATCTAATCCTAAAATTGTAGGATTGTCGTGATGTAGAATCCTAATCTATAAGACCTTACGCGAAATCCACATCACTGTCTGTTCTGACTTGACGTATCGAAACGATTGAAAATATGATGCTTGGCGTCCCTAAAGAACACATTTATGTTGGTGGTGGAATAATATCTGAAAAAAGAGCTAAGTTCGCGGTAGCGAATGTGAAACCGGCACCGTTTAGAACTGATGTTCTAGAAAGATGTGAATCCCTTATCAATGGAAAGAAACCCCATTTAACACTTGAAGACGCTTCGAGTTCTAAACCCAACCAATCCAAACCCTCAGTCTTCCCAAAATGAACGAAAATTAACTCATCATCAGAATTGACGAGGCGTTTGCATTTGAAAATTTCAGGAGACCAACAATCAACAAATTTAAAAATCGATCAAGCCTAATTTGACTACATGTCTCTGTTCGGTACTGTTCGTCCCACTGGTTACCAATGAGCACTGTTTCAACAAATGTTCCCAAAGAAAACCGATGGTGACTGTCTACCGTGTGAGGATCGCAGAGCTTTTAACCATCAGACTGTGCCTGATAGCTATCCAATGCCTCGCAGCCAATACTTCATAAACTCCATACGGGTCACGGCCATACGCATCGTAACGTATCTTGGCATTGAGACGCCATTAGCTTAAACATGTATTCCTAAGACAACTATCACTACGCGCCTCAGACCGTTTAAATGCTCGCCCCGCTTGGATTGAAGGACGCCAAACAAACGAGCTAAAGTTTGATGGACAGTGTGCTTAGAGATACGTCTTTCGCACGACGATATATCTACTACATGTTGATCGCCAGTATTTAGTTCAAATCACATGAAAAAAGTGTGAAAGTCATGTTAAAACGGCTGGATGAAAATGTAATGAGCATACATCAAAGTCTGTCTCCGAAGTTAAAACATCGTACCTTTTTAGACACACATTGAGTACTAGGAGAGAAAACACCAAGTGAAAAATATGTGGACACCATTAAACAACATCCCATACCAATTTGTTCAGCACAACTAGGACGTTTACTAGTTATGATCAACTCTTAGTGTCAATTCTTGCTCGGTTATTCACAATTAGTCCAATAGTCGATAGAAACTTCCAGAGAGAAACCATAAAATTCAAGCTGACATTTTAGTATACTGAAGCAACTACAGAGCTATATGATTAACTAACCAAAGCACCTATAATGGTTCAACCAAAACCCGATTATCCACTCTCCCTGATGGTGAATGCTTCGGACGAGATATTACATGCTCTTAATCAAATGGTGAAAAACTTCTGGCAACCGACCAACTCCTTTTCAAGAAGACTAGCTTTTACAAAGATGAGATACCTTGCTTTCTGATGAAGACATATCTTTATATACCTAGCCATTAAGAATTTCTGGGACACTGAAATAAAGAGGATTGTAAATTAATTTAAATCATGAACCACTGATTAATACATTGAAAACTGAGACAGATAAATGCTCGTCTCGAAAAATCCAACACCCCTATTCACCATATCTCAGATAACCGGTGATATACGCCACGCAAACGTTTAGGAAAATCCATTATATTAATAAGAAATGAACAAAACTCATTATCGACTACAAGTTTTGGAGACTTATGAGACAATTTTTATTTAATAACCTCTATCCTTTGTCCCATCGTTGTACGAGAGGTACTATCAAAATTATTATTGACATGTGTATATTACTAGATTCCAAAAGTGATGCATGCGATTGGATTAGAAAGTGCTTGGATTGCCAAGAGATAAGATATAAATGTTATGCGGATTCACATATAAAAGCCTTCTCATAGCGTGATTCACATCTAGCACACGATAATGTAGATTTGATAAGCCCTCTTGATTTTTTTAAGTGCGTACACAGATTAACAAGTATTCCAGTAGCCATACCAGCAGTCAATACCGAGTATGAAGCAGTGGCAAAGCTTTCATTCAGACCTGGGCGATCAATTTTGGTCAGCCCATTGTAATAATGAATGGTTGAAGAGCTCATTTGGAATGTAAGCTGTTTGAAAACAAGTCAGAACCTCTAGATTCTAACAAAATACATTGCATAGCACACCACTCTCAAGCGAATAGGAAAGCAGGACGTTTCTACCGTCAATTAAAAGCTACCCAAACGTCTCATCTAGACCCACTCAGTGGATGAAATCCCAGCCATTAGTCATACTGAAAAATAAGTTAGACGTGAAAACTGATTCACAGAATTTAACAGCAGAACTAGTTTTCGGGATAGCATTAAGACTACAGGGTTTGTTGATCAATCCTCTTACAGGAAGCAAGTAGTTTGACCCAGTAAGTTACGTGGACAAACAATGAGATCAGATTTACAGGCTTAGAGCGAACCATGCTGGAAAAACTTCGCTAGCTTAACATAAACCAAAAGATCAAAACACTTCTACGCAGATCTGGATACGGAGGGATGGGGTAAATCTACCACTCAGCCCTCAATTTGAAGACCCAACCAATGTTG